CAGCTGGCTGGTAAGTTTCTATAGAGATGTTTTTGGGAAAAGAATATTACATTAAGCGAGTCAATTAATTATACTACAATGAGAACGTAATATAGAACAGTAAATAAGTTTACAAATTTTGTCTATAATTTTATTACATGGTAGATAAGAAGGCTGGTTATTCTAGAATCGATATGAGCTATTTTTTCTTATAGTTTAAAACAAATCACTCCAGGTTAAATCGATAGCCCTAAGAACACAAAAGATTTGAGACTTTCAACCAAGGTTAAATCAAACTCACTCTGAAATAAAATATTTTGCCCTTTTACTTAATTGTACAATATACCTTTAGCAGACTTCCCCATTAGCTTTGACTTCGCTGCTGGAGGGATCATTGCAAAAATTATATGAGAATCAAAACCTTTTTTGTCTTTGCTTTTTTAAAATATAACTTGTGTTGAGTCTTCCTTATAAGCAAAATTTAAGGTGTGATTTAAATCTTTTACCATATAAAGAGGTGCACATTAGAAAACGTTTTTTGCAGAATAACAGGGATGCTCATGAGTATATGTTTATGAAAATAAGAATGTGTGTCAATGACTATGCCAATTTCATTTACTGACTCAAAAGAAAGTAGAAATCCAATTTACTTGTATGCAGCACCACAGGCAAGCACCTGTACAAACATAATAACAAATTAAAATTATCAGTACCTTTTATTCAGTCTTACATTTTACAATGAGAGTATAACATTGGATAGAAAACAAAGGTCTCAAATGCTTATACCAGGCTTGAGATTATTTTTCCTTTTTCCAAGGCCTTAAAAAAAAATCAGACAAAAAATCTCACGTTTTCTTCTGTTTACTGTATACCTCGTCTTTAATGTACCCATCAATGGTCAATTCAGGTATGAAGTCTTTGATGTGTAACACTTAAAAACAAGGAAAATTTGATTTATTTCGTGTTTCATTCGTAATAGCCCCGAAGGGGGCGGCTTGGTCTTTGGGCCAGTTGTAAATATAGTAAACGTAAGAATTGCAGTGAACTAAAATCATGCAATAAATACAGTAAACCCCGAGTATAAGAACCTGGATTTTTTAATTTAGCCTTAACAGGCTCTTATATAAATGGTACTTAAAGCAAATTTAGACTACTAAGGTTCTTAAAATAGGTTCTTATATTTTCGTATGAATTTCATTTAAATGTATCGTAAATATCATCTCATAATACAATATCATTTATACCAGGCAGTAATGCCTAAAGGCAGTACAGTGCAGGTATGTCCTTAACAAAACATAACAAACAAACTCATAATCAGTTCTCTGAAATGCCATTTTAAAGTTGATACCAAGAAAATCTTGGCACAAATACAGTACATTCATAACCAGTTTCACTGATAAGAACCTAAATTAAAATTTTAGCCTTAATAGGTTCTTATGTGGAGGGGGCTTAAATGTTGAATGAATTGATGATAATAATAATTTATTAATTGCATGATTTTAGTTCCTTATATTTTAATGGCTCAAACATGAACTTTTTCTTGGCCTTCTGAGTGAGGAAGTACAAGAAGTTTAAAGTGCTTTACTTGGGAGATTGGGATTGGAAGGACTGTGGTGACAATACAGGATTGTTGAAGAGGGTGTGCATATTTCTTAGTTCCTTTGATGTCTTTCGAATACTCGAAACATGGCCCTTGTGCAGGGTGTGATCTCAAATACTGTAGCAGAACTCAAGATTAAAGAAAAAAGGTAAAATTCCTAAAAAAAAAACCTTTTTTTTTCAAGTGCGCCACTTACACTCATCTAGTGCATGGATTTCCTCATCATTGAACCAGGCTCCCCTTGTGAGCCGCTGAAACTTGAATTTTATTATTCTGAAATTGCACTTGTCGATTTCTTTGTGTAATAGCTGATTGCATGTTCTGTCATCTCTATGGCATTGCCACTGCCCTGTGTCTTTAAGGAGGCAAGAAGGGAGCCCACATGAAATGTAACTACCTCTCCACAGTCACAACGCTGTGGCAGGAAATCCTAGTCAAGAAACCTAAGGATCTGCAGAGAACACAAGCTTTTTTGTGATTTTATCTGCTTTTTAATCTCGTTTTTAGTAGGTTTTATGCAGTTTTTTACGATTTAAGTAGTCTAGGTAATTTTTATAGTTTTAGTGTTGACATAATTGTTTTACTGTTTTTGGTAGGTTCATGCACTTTTTGCATGTATACTTTATGCACTTATTATTATTATTATTATTATTATTTTATGTTATTCTTTTTTTAATTTTTTTAATATTTTTATTTTAAAGCGCTGATGAAAATAGCAATATTGATATCGGCGCTATATAAGTATGATTATTATTATTATTATGTAAAATCTTTTCACACATGTGAAATGATTTTGTCATAAAGTGTCATTAAATTACAAATATATATGCATTACAACAAACAGTAGAACAACTCTTATCTATGATGCTCTGTTTTCATTTTATTTATTTATTTAATTATTTATCATTAACACGTGAGCTGCAATTTGAAGCTATATGTAATTGTGATAAATTGATTCTATTACAGTGCTTTAATTAATTTAATCTACTTATATAACATTTTATTTTGCATTGCATGAATGCATGTTTCGATCATGTTTCACTGCTTGTAAGTGCTATGCATATATTTTTAAGTAAATCCAATTGCACAATCAATCTGAGTAGACATGTATGCCTACAATTAAAAAATCTGTAAAGGTTGGTATACAGTGGTATACCAAGAAAAGAGTAACTCCAATTCATATAGCATTATAAAAAGTGACAAACGAAATAGTATTTTCAATGGATTTTTCAGATGTCATAAAAATTTAAGAAAACAGAGACTACATCAACGTCATCGCAATTAAACATTTCTAGAATTGAGAATCCACATTACATGGGGTTTCTCATCGTCTGATGCTGTGACCATTGGTTTGGATATGTTTACCGAAGAGAAAACCTTCTCTTCCATTTTTCTTGCGTCTATGTGGTAGAGGCTACTGTCTTTGTCAGTCTTCAAACTACTGACATATAAATCAACAGGTACAAATTCAACTGTTTCACTTTTATTCTGCAAAGAAATGAAATGGCTAACTTGTCCAACCCTTCCAACACATTTAGACCCGCTCTTTATCCTTACAACAAAAGATATTGTTCTATCAGTGCTAGTGTTTGCAGATGACCCCTCCACAACTCCAGTTTACCTGTTGTTTTGTTTATTTTTTCTGAGATAAATGCCCTTTTTATAAGCCATCCCTCGTCTGACACTTTGCTATGAGCAAATTTAAATGAGTCAATGTTTTTTCTTACGAAAGGTCAATTCATGAG